ATGCTCTACCAGGTACTCTACTCTGTTGTCGCATTGCTTTACAATGCTCTGCATAAACATATACTGGTTCAGGGTTCCCACTAGAATTTTGAGTAGGAGGTATTTTGAAAGGAATGGGTGACAACATTGTGTTGAAGGTACCACTCACCAAGGGGTGGGGAGGTCTCCTGAGGGCATCTCCCTGTGAGATTTTGAAATTTAGACACCTAGCTCCCACCCCAAAATTATGTTATAAAAGAAGGAAACCTTCCCCTTGGTATTTTGTGGTGAGGAAATACTTTGGATTATAATTTCGAGAAATAACCAGCAATTGCCTACACTATAGAAAGCAAATATTTCCAAGTTCTGGCCTCTATTGAGAACCTCGCCAGCTCGTCAAAAATCTGTAGGTGAGGGGGGGTGCAAATCATTCTTGCTGATTAACAAAGAATTAATGTGACAGTCCAAATATGCTATATATGTTATAAAGAAATCGATGTATATTAACAGCATCCCGCTTTGTACTTCTAAATATCCCTTTACATTCTTGCTATTATTATACAAACATGGGGTATTAATTAACACACACACCAGCTACTGTCCTAACACTTGACTCATCAGATAGCAAAATTAGTGAATATTAAAGTCTGGTCGATTTCCAATCTAATCCAGCAGAATTAAGGCATTTGCCTTTGCAATTACAACTTAAGCTTAAAGAATAGCCCACCTATAGTTACAAATAATTCAGATTCAGTTTTCTTGCTGCAAAATTCATCCAGGATGATGTATTGCATACTTTATATTGCTTATACAGGTCCAACTCTTTATGAGGACTGGAAAATAATACTTACTGGGTAATCGTACCAGTGGACACAGTTTTATTATATAGTAGAGAGTGAGATACTGAAAAATACACAGCGAGATATTTTCCATATCTTCACTAGTGAAGATATCGATCACGTGACAATTTGCTTTTGAGCGTGAAATTTCACAAATTTCTAGTGTTACTGTAAAAACAATATTTTACTCACTCACTGCGCTCGTTCGCAAAATATTGTTTTCACCACTCGAAGATAAAAGTCGTATCTTCGCGCCGCCGTGTAATATCCTCTATATACTACAAATACTGAATATTTATTAATTTAAAGGCTTACCCTTTCTCTTCGTGTAGCTCGAGTGGCCCGAGGTGTAGCTACATTTTCAGATGTTTATATAAACAACATTTTCCATCCAAGAAAAAAACAAAATTTACATTTATATTGATCAACATAAGATTGTTACAGTTTGGTACACTGTTTTAAAAGTAAAGGATTTGTTTTAATTCGTTCCGAATAGTTTCAAATTTTAATAACACGTGAAATTCAAATTTACCGCAAACATGACCGAGTGGCGTAAAACTCCGGTAAAAGACTGGTACATAGAGGCGACAATATGCAGTGCTATCATGAAGTATATTGTGCCTAAAAAGCAAGATGGCGGCGAAAATGAGTGGAAGGGATCTGAAGAAATTTGCCGAATTTGGTCGAAAAATCGTCGGCGTTGGACGAAATTATCGGTTTGTTTAAGCAAGCGTTTGCATCACATTTAGCATATTACATGGCGCCATTTTTTTTTAATAATAGCTTTATTCATCCATCTTAAGATAAAAAAGTACAATGGACTTACAATTACTTGTTTAAGAAAGTATATATGCTGCGGATATGTCTTTATATTACAAATTGTTGTAAGATAATTTAGAAAAATAACTAAGAAGTTAAAACTAATAAATTCTTTAATCTAATAAGTTCTTCTAATAAGTTAAAACTATTTATACATATTTACAAGCTCTACCTGAAAATGAATGTTTATGCCTTTCAGTTCCTGAGAAGAATGATATATTGCGATTCCGGTCAATGTTCCTTAAATTGTACTGATTGTTAATTAATTTTGGCAAAACACTGCGACAGGGATGGTGTGGATCGTTCATAAACCTATCAACTTCTCGACTAGTTGCCTCTTCCCTTCTTTCGTTCAGCGGTGGTAGGTAATCTTTTTCCAGGCCAAGGATTCTTAAGCTCCTGGATTGAACCCGCTCTATTTCATCTCGCAGGTAATTAGGAAGTCCCGCCCAGACAGGTGATGCATACTCGAGAATTGGTCTTATTTTGGATTGATAGGTAATAATACCGACTTCAGCTGGTAACTGCGATTTCCTGCATTCTCTAAGATGGTAAAGGCGTTTATTTGCTTTACGTGTAATCTCTTCAACATGTGCGTTCCATTTTAGATTATTTTGGAACGACACGCGCGCCAAGTAATTTAAAAGCGTTGACCCTTTCTATTAACTCATTTCCAATACGAAGACGTGGTGGTTCAGATATAGCGTCCGTGAAAGAGATCCACATGTCCTTAGTTTTTTTAGCATTAATTGCCATTTTATTTAACACCGCCCAGTTATTTACTTCATTGATAGATTGTTGTAAATTACTATTAGAATCTACGCTCACTATTTGGTGTTGTGTGCAGTCATCTGCATACTTATTCGTACTGACTTTTAGTTGTTCTGGTAAGGCGTCCTCCAAATCATCAATGTAGGTATTAAAAAGAATGGGAGATATTACAGAGCCTTGCGGGGCTCCGGCCGGGCATGTTGCAATGGATGATAAGGTACCATTGAGATTTACTTGTTGAACTCTTCCGGAAAGGAAACTTTTAATCCATAACCAGAAGGGTTTATTTATGTTCATAGCTGCTAATTTGTTCAAAAGAATATTGTGATCCACAAGGTCGAAGGCCTTACGAAAGTCAATGAAGGCCGCATGAACCCCCATTTTGCCTGTTTTTGAACAATCAGTGGCATTAAACCAGGTTTGGGTAGTTGATATTAACGCAGAGACTGTGCTTCGATGTTGAGTAAACGCGTGCTGGTTATTCTTAATTTTCAGGTCTTCAATATTTAACTGGAGCTGGATCTTTTCCAGGATCTTGGCAAGATGGGGTAAGACTGATATCTGGCGGAAATCATTGTTAATGTCTCTCGGCGGTTGCACTTTAGGAACAGGGGAAATTAGGGCATGTTTGTAGAGTGATGGATAACAACATTGACTTATACTACAGCACACAATGTCATAAACCACAGGAGCTAGGTCTTCGTGGTATTGTTTGAGCATCCATGCAGGAACCTTATCGATGCCAGTTGCTTTTCTTGGATTAAGATGTTTTAAGACCGCTTTAACTTGGCCAATAGAAGGAAGGGGTGGTTTGTTATTCTTATGTGGGTGGTTCACTTCAGGTATTTCAAAGGCGACATTCGTGTAACGGTCCGACCATGGTTTAGTGAAGGCTTTCTGAAGTTTTTCAGCTAAGTCGGATAAGTCTAGGTTTTCGGGCCCGTGTGGAAATTGGGTGTGGGTTGTGTTTTCGGCATTTACTAAAGAGTAGATACAGTTATACCACTTCGATTGATTCGAGGTACGAAATTCTGAGGCCTTGGACCGATAGTAGGTGGCTTTAGCTTTAGCTATAAGATTTGCCACTTTCTCGCATAGTTGTTTGTATCTTGGCTGATCACCACGAGAAAAGGCCTTCTGACGAGCTTTGATTTGCATTTTAATATTACCGGTGATCCACGGTTTATCAGAGTGATGTACTCTGATGGTTTTTTCAGGTAAGAACTCGTCAAGCATCTTGATTATAATGGAGTTATAAGCTGATACTTTCTCATCCACATCCAGTGCTGAATATACAGTAGTCCAATCTTCAGAAGCTATATTCAGGGAGAGGTCATTTAAATTTGCTCGTTTCATCAATCTAATTGTTTTTGACGTAACCGGAGTTTTCTGTCTTTTAATGGGCTTGATTAGAAGACATTGGTGGTCGGAGCGTCCGATTGGGGGGAGATGGCTAACAGTGTCAAAGAGAGGGAGCATATTTGTAAGGATTTGATCAAGAATGTTGTGTCCTCTAGTCGGTTTAGTTACGGATCTTTTTAAATTAAATCTGTTACATAGTTCTCTTAATTTTAGTTGATTGAAGTCCCCAGCTATAACAATTCCAGATGAAGGACGTTCGCGCAAGAGACTATCTATACAAGTAGTTAAGTATTCATTCATATCGATTGCTTGTTCGGCGGATTGACCAGGAGGGTAGTACACAACAGCAGCAACGATTGTACTGTAAGGTCTAGGGGTTCTTGGGGGTTTTAACAACAACCATATCACTTCTTTGTTTTCTTCTTCGAGGTGAGTCATACGCTCTGCTGGTAAACAATTATTCACGTAGGCGATCACTCCACCGCCAGGAGACTTTCTATCGCGACGAAATATGTTGTATTTATTACCGATCTTAACCGAGGAATCACCGATATCATCACTTAGCCAAGATTCAGTTATCATTACCACGGATGGGTCATAGATCGATACAACAGCAGCTAATTCGTCTACCTTATTTGTTATATGGCATACATTTGACAAGAGGAAGGACGGGACTGAGAACTTTCCAATGGTGGGGTTTGTATTAGTCTTAATGTTAATTAAATTATTAAAATTTACACTTCTCTGAGATGTATAATTATCACTTGTCCGTTGGATTGCGCCTAAACGAGGGTTCCAAACTGGTCCAAGGTGCGGTTGACCAGCTGTAGGTAAGCTTCCCAGGACTCCGTTTCTCCAAGCTGTAACTCTGACTTTGATTGGAAAGGATTCACTTTGTATGCCGGGTTGATTTGACTTGCTCTTGTATCTGTATTGTCTGCTGTTGTTCTTGGTTTCGGAATCCACCGATAGCGACCGCTTCGAAAAATCTTTGAGGGAAAATTTGCTTGACGATATTGATGTTTAGGCTCGGAAAACTGATTGCGCCGGTAATTAGGTTTCGAGAAATGCGTTCTGTTAGTTGAGGAATTATGCATTGGATTCCTCCTATGACGATCCATGTTGGCGTTTAAGGCGGCCTGATTGCGCCGGTAATTAGGTTTCGAGAAATGCGTTCTGTTAGTTGGAGAATTATGCACTTGATTCCTCTTATGACGATGCATGTTGGCGTTTAAGGCGGCCTTTTCTTTTAGGAGATGGTCGAATGAGGTCAGGGAGTCTTGGACGACTGGTTTATTGGGATTTCTATATTTCATAAGAGAGTCATTAACAACTGGCCCTCGGGTATTATATTGTTTCTCTTTGTATGTCGCAGATGGTAAATTATTCATATTAGTGTTTACGTTAACTTCAGATTCTTCTATATCAATTAGTATAACAGAGTCATTGTCAGTGATGGTTGGTTGATTATTCATATTATCGATAGCAATGTTAATTGGCGATTTTGACAATTCCATGCCGTGCAGTGTTTCCTTGAGTAATTTAATTTCTTGTTTCAATAGCTGATTTTCGTTTCGTAGCCGATTGCACTCACATGTAGCGGGAGCTTCAGCAGTATTAACTTTTAGGAATAATAATGCCAAGTCCAATTTAATTTCTGCTACTTCTACAGATAATTTACTACAGTCTTTGCAATTCATTATATAATCGCCTTCGTTCTGCTTGTGTGAACACATTTCTTGCTCATTTGCTTTTCCTTCGCTAGCATCCGAGTCGCTTCGGTTGATAGTTGTTGTTGTATTACTAGATCTGTCAAACATGTTCGAGTTAGAATTGTTAATACTGAGACTACACTGATTATCGATAGATTCATTCCGTCTTTCGGAAACAGCAGGGGTAGCAATGATTAGCTCGGCATCTTTCACTATTGCAATTCGCGATGCATCGATATTTTTCTTCAAAGAGTCAGCCACTTCGCTGCCACGAGGACCTTTCACGCTCAAGTTTTGTATTTTCTTTTCGTACAAGTTCCTTTTTTCTTCTAACTCGGATATTTTATTGTTGCTCGTCTCCAACTCCTGTTTGATTGAACCAATTTCTCGATGATTACTTTCCAGTTTACCTTTCAGTTCTTCTATAAAAGCTTCCCTGGCTTTAACAAGGTCTTCAAAATTTCTTTGGGAAACCAAAAATTTGTCCTGAAGGTCATTCATCGTGTTTAAAAGGTGGAAATATTTCCGTTGGTAGTCTTCTTCAATCACCGTTGTTTCACTTGTAACATTGATAGAACGAACCACCACTTTCCCTGACAGTTTGTATGCTAATGTTTTCATTCCTTGGCGATGTTAAAACTTTACATGTAGTTGTTGTGTTTATCACATCTTGAACCATATTCTGCACTTGTCTTTCACTGCATTCAGGTTCTTGAAAACTTTCGTTCGACGTTGTTTCAGACTTCACTGCCAGTAAAGGCTGTGTTACATTCGTCTCTTCTTGAACTATACTCTGTAAATCTGTTCTTACAACTTTTCTCACTTGTGAACGTGGAGCTTTCCTCCGCGATTTGCTCACGTCAGGTGAAGGGGAGTGCCCTTCTTCAGGTGCGATATTTTCATCATGGTTGACCACTGGCAATGTATTTTTTGATGCCATAGCTGCATTACGATGTAAATCCTCATTCTCCAGTGACTCCTTGGAAAATTCATGATCTAGTTTTCTTTTCTTAGTCTTTTTCCCCTCTTTTGGAGCTACTGGTGTCTCTTCTTCAATACAGCCTCGCCTTTTAGATGAATTATTATGTCTTGTCAGGATTGGCATATTCTTATTAATGTAATGTAAATGTAAATCTTATTATGTAATGACCGAAATGTTCTTTTGTCAGTTTTCATTGTTTTGATAATCCCACTTCCGGGTTCCGAACCTAGGCTAGTTGTCTACTATGAACATGCAACGATCATTGCTGACCCATATAAGAGCAGTATGCAAATTACGGGGGTTGTACCCATGGTTAATTTGCAAAACACAAATGTAAGCTAAATCCCATCATGCCTCTGGGGCATGATTTCAAAACAAATCCTGTGCCGCATCCGTAGATTGTCTGGTGGTCAACCCCAAAATCACAAAGCTATTCATTTAGGTAGGGTTCTCCATGTCATCATGTCACTTTTTCTTTTGGCATAAGCCAGATGCACGTGGTACAATTTTGGTAGCCCAATTTGTGGCTTAAATGCATGTGCAGCTTTATATTAGCATTTATGCAACGAGCCAATAATTATTGCACATTGCATTTATGAAACAAGGGGACCACGGCATATAATGTCAATAAATGTTCATTTATTATTTAGCGATCATGCAAAAGAATTGGGAAACAGTGTTCCGGATACACCATTGCTGTTTTTAAAACCATCCACAGCATACATCCATGAAGGACAGAAAATAAAGGTAGGATGAGATAGCTGGGTAGTCTTTCAGTGGAAGAATCAATGTGTGGGGGCAGTTCTGTGCAATTTAAGCTAAGATCCATCAAGGGCACAAAAGTAATCAAATAATGTTGAAATAATGGGCAGGACAGTATGAAAATAGTCTATATGAAGTACTTTATAGTGGCACTGGAGTGAATAGTTCCCTACTTGGAGGCGGAGTCAGACCAGCTCTGAGTTAAACTATTGTTTTATTTAGATTCCTAGTGGTTGCTCTGATTTACACCATGAAGTTGAACTTGGTGTTGTGATTGGTCAAAATGGCACAAATATCGAGCAAAACCAAGCGATGGACCATGTGGCTGGCTATGTCCTTGCTTTAGACATGACTGCCAGAGATTTTCAGCGAGATGCATCAAAGAAAGGCCAACCTTGGTTACTGGCAAAAGGATTTGACACATCATGCCCAATCAGTGATTTCATCCCGAAAGAGAAATTGCCCAATCCCGATAATGTCCGACTTTGGCTCAAGACTGATGGAGCAATGAAACAGGATGGGAATACCAAGGATATGATATTTAAGATACCATATTTGATCAGTTATATTAGTAATATTGTTACACTCGAAGAAGGCGATCTTATATTAACTGGTACACCTGCTGGTGTGTCTACAGTCACTGCTGGCCAGCAGATTACTGCAGGATTGAATGAAATAGTGGAGATGTCATTCTCTGTCTCAAACTGAACGATAAAATTAAAAATTTAAAAACAAGTTATTATAGTTATAGTTATTGAAACTTAAACCACTTGAAAAATGAATAGAATAATAGGGTGAACGTATATTGCTGGGACAATACAAATTATAATCATACCACCTCAAAATTTATACAATACGCGTGTTAAGTGCACAAACAAATTTGATTTGATAATAAAAAATATATAGATGGCTTTGATCATTGTGTAAATAAACTATTCTGACAAAGTTTGTAAACTCCCTCTAACTGAAAGGACGGTGCCCATCATTGGAAAACCTCAAGTAATACGAAGATAAGATACGAAGTACAAGCGGTACACGGTAAGGCGCACCCATTTTCGCAAAAGACGAATTATATACTAAAACCTAAACTAAGAAATTAACGACAAAAAGCAAATTTAAACCAAGAAATATGAGTTTAATTCCATGTCTACCCAAACTACGGTATTATGCCACCCTCAAATCAACTACCTGTAACATGTAAAAGTTACAACGGCTACTTTGTGTTAAGTCTTCTCACTTTCGTCCATCCGTGTTAATCTGTAACGAAAACCAAGTACACGGCGTGGTTGCTGTCTTTGCGTTTTGCTGCTACAACCACACCACTCATAACACCGGAATCGTCTGTGTAGTAAAGCTGCACCTGAAGAAACAAAGCGAATTATGTTAGAGGGGAAAATTATGTTCATCCATTGCTCAGAATTAAACCCACAATTTAAGGAATAATAAACTGAACTACCTGATAAAGATTAGCGGAAACTGACTTTGAAGTTTTGAACAAGGGCCTGGAAGTGAAGTAGTATACTTACTAACTTCCAGGCCTACTGCGGGATCAAAAATCGCTTGATTATTGGCTTGGCCGGAGTAGGCCTAATTCCCAGGCGGGTCTTTTCTTTTTCGAGTATAGTTCAAATCAACCAAAGTTTACTTACCCTGCTATTGTCCAGAGTGATGAAAGCTTTGTCGAAAGCTGTCGTTGCTTCTTCAGAGTCATCGCGATTGTTTAAAAGTTGGCCCATGAGCAGTTCAGTCTGAAAAAAATTGCGTTAATACAGCATATGTAAGTATATGCGGTGTATAAGTGAGCCGAGGCGAGTGATTGCATATATATCTTATATAACATGGACGCGAATGTTGTATACAGCTTGTGAAATGCAAAGATCTAAATTGATGCAAAGGATTACTTGCGGTTATAGAGATCGACAACTGGCCAGTTTTGGCTTCTGTATATAGCTCAGGGGCCGGTTGTTCAAAAGTGGATTAGCGCTAACCCAGGGTTAAAATTTAACCCGCTGTTTTAGTTTGCATATTTCTACATGCCCATTTATTTCAAAATGTCAGAAAAGAAAACTCCTATTGATCCAGACATGATTTGTGATGAAATATTTCCAAATTTAGAAACAAGTTGTTAGGAAGTGTGCTTTGAATTTTCAGTTAAGGTTACAGAACACCTTTGAGTGTTAATTTTGCCTAAAATTTTTTTATTGGTTTCAATGAAAGCATTAAATTAGACTAGTTCTACTATCTGACCAAGTTTGAACGAAAAATGTTGAAAACTCGCAGAGTTATTTAATAAAATACATTTGGCTGCAATAAGAAAAACATTGAAAATGTACTATTCAAATTCAATTTTCTCACGAAAAATTTTACGGTAATTACTGATTTTCAAACGAGTTGTGCTCCTGCGGGTTTTAACCAATTTTTCTCAAATTTTTACAGGACATAGCTAAATACGTCAGTTTCAAAATTGTGTTCGGCTTTTTCTTAATTTTGGATATTTTAATAATAAAGAGCAATTCACTGAAACAATTCAGAAATATATTGCAGTCGTCAAAGAAATCGCCATATCAGCGGAATGACGAAATAAACAAAAATTTCCGAACACAATTTTTTAGAACAACTATTTTACTGTATAAAAATGATATTTTCATAAATATAACTTAAAACCAGCAGGAGCACAACTCAAAAGCGTAAAGGTACCGCTATTTAAGATTTTCCTGAAGAATTCTTACATTATTTTATTGTTTGTTAATTTTACAACTTTACCATATTTTGCATGCACTGGAGAACATTTGGTGAAAATTTGATGGAAATCGGACTGATATTGAGCGCGCAGTAGCGATTTTCCGCAAAACGCCCAAAAGGGTGTCCTGTAACCTTAACCTAGGATTAAGCCAATCGGCCTTTGAACAACCGGCCGCAGTTGATTAGACCGCTGCACCGCGGAATCGCAGCACCGCAGGTTCGATTCGTGCCAGAGGGCTTTATATATAGTTGCATTTTTCGCAACTTCTTCCAGTTAGGTCTATAATAAACGTATAAAATTCAGACTCGAGATTTACATGTAAATGTGAATACAATAACTAATACCTGAAAATCATTCGAATTGTGGAGCTGACTTCTCAAAACTGTTAGATCTTCTTCGTTTTCTACCTTTGTTTCGCTAATAAGTTTCATATTTTTAACGTATATTTGAGTGTCTTCAGCATCGTAACCATACCAGTCGCTTACAATCAAATGTTGTTTCAACGCTTGCTTGGCTTGAGATGGCAAACCTTAAAAATATTTATAAAAATTAAACAATAGTTAGCAATGATATTTGTGGTGTTACATATTCACCTGAGTACACTACACCAACACAGAAAAAAATAGTTAGCAATACTGTATACATCCCAAACCATCGTATTCCTCAACGCTGCCCGGACAGTGACACAGTGTCAGAGGCAAAAATGAGTAAAATGTTTAGGGTCAAAAATGTTTTAGATGTCTTGCAATTCGGCAAATGTTCACTATATACAGTACATGTCTATACATTCATATAGAAGATATTATTCTTGTCCATACCTAAATTTTGTGTGCATGTGATAAAAATGTGCGGTGATACCGTGATATCATTTGTTGTGATAAATTCTTAATAAATATAGAACCTACAAAACTTTTCGAATTCATTCCTTATGGAATGTGTAGTGATAAAAATCGCATAATGTATAAAATTATTGGTATGATCTTTGGAACTCTGGAAATGTTGTAATTGGAACATTCCTGATTCCTGACATTGACAATGAAAATCGTAAATCCTCTGTTATATTTGGTTGCTGTAAAAACTCCATGCATGCCCTGTTTTTAAGGCGAACGAAAAAGTCATTCCTTGTTTTGCTTCGCCCTGCAAAACTTCAGTAGTTTTTGTATTCTCCCTAGCTCAGCACTCGGATTGCCCATTTACTGAATGTTTAATTTAACAGCAACACATACCGTGCTCATTGTGAAGAAATTTGTAGAAAACATTTGTTACATCATTTGATGTTCCATTGCCAAAATACTTTTGAAGTTCCTTAATGGAATCCGGTAAATCATCTCCTAAAACAAACATGAAAACTCGGTTAGCACAGAACCATTATCAAGGACAAACGGTACGAACGAAAGAAATTTCGAACGTCTGGGCCAGCCAATCATAAGAAAGCTGCGCAGATTGACAGGGATACAACTACCTACCTCTTGTCTAAAACTTGAGGTCCTGTAGTCAATGTCAACAATTTGTACATGTTCGTTAAATTTTTAACTTTTCTACTTCAAAAGATATAATTTTCTTTTTGAAAATAGTTATGCGGTGTATAGTTTTGTCACTATACATTTTTTCCAGGTTGCAAACTTTCTACTATTGTACGAATTAGAAGAATGATGGTATAAATATTTAAAGAAATATACAAAATTCTACAACACTGTACCTCTTGCTTGTTCATGTATCGTTATTATCACCAAAATATGAAAGATGAACTTCGAAACCATTTTTTTGCAAAATATCTTATGACAATATTCAAAGTCTGAAAGCTGATCTGTACGAGGCCTTAAAGCACACAAAGACTGATAATCCTAGCATTCAGCACGCAATGTCGTTTGAATACGTATGATATGTCTGTGTATCTACATTTATAACCACGGCATTGCTGTGTTATGTAAAGCTGTCCATACTCAATAGTGAACTCGAAAGTTCAACAGGCACAACTAATCTTTAATTCAATTTAATAGATGATTACCCATGCAAGCTATTTGCGTGACCAAGGGGGCTCTTACTAGGCATATCAGTAGAAGTGCTTCAATTTTTTTGAGGTTGTCCAGACGCCAACCATCATGCAAAACATGAATAGGAAAGAAAATAACCAAAAATTTTTCAGCGACGCTGATTAAAAATTTATAATTCGAGCTAAAATTTGGAGAAATGCACCAAAAAATTAAGGAAAAATTGAAATATAATAACGCTACGCTAACCCTAAAAAAATGTGCGGAGAAATTTGTTAACCAGTCTCCCCCCCCGCCCCGCTCGCCAACAATTTTGAGAAATGAAATAATAATTAGTGGTTGAAATGATGTCGGGAAAAGTTGAACGTTTGTCGGTAAATACCATACCATACCGCTCCCACCCCCTCTGCCTCTTCGGGACGGCCCTGAATGGGACGGCGAAAACCAGAAGTCAAAACAAACTGCTTGAAACGCAATTGTCCCTGACTGGGAACCAGACAGTTTTGAGCATATCGAGGCAAGAGGTTAAGGACTAGGATTCTGTTCCACTCAACTGTGGAATTCGCCGCTTTGTCAAACTGCTATTGCGTTGAAAGTGGATGTGCAGTGGTGTGCAGTCGGATGTGTAGTGATGTGTATCGTATCGTAAAAATTTTGGTTTTCGTGAGGGGCGTCGTCAATTAATATATACAAAGTATTTACAAGAAAATACGTAGAAACAAATAAAAACTATTTACAAGAGTGCATGCTGAATACAGGAGGTGTGACCCATACATTAACATGGCTCAGTCATGATGAAACTCGGGTGGATTATTTTACATCGTCCGCCGAACATTTGTGCTGCGTAGTACGTATGTCTAATAGCCGCCTATATACCTTATGTGCATGCGTAGGGGAAATATTGCTCTGTTCGTTTAAAAAAAAACGTTTTAAACATAGACTGATAGGAGAAAAGGAATATGAACGAAATAAAATATATAAAGCACAAATAGTAAAGCTCGTAAAGCATCACAACCCAAGAACATAACTTTTCCTAGAAAATTTTCTTTTGACAAATGTTTCTATACCTTTAACAAGCTTTCGTTGGTGGGGATGCGTACAACTACCTGAAAAATATAAGGAGAATTTCGACGTTTCGAGCGAAGGCCCTTAGTTACTAGACAGGTCTGGAGTCACTTTAACAAGCTTTCGTTGCGAAGGGCCTTCGCTCGAAACGTCGACTGCATGACTCTCCTTATATTTTTCAGGTAGTTGCACCTTGTTAATATTACTGGCACAGATAGTTCAACCTTGTCTTTTTGCCAGGCTGCCAGCCTTAAAATGCTATATTTTCCCCGCGTATATTGAGAAAGCTTAAGCGATAGGATTAATTTCACATACCACAATTTCCTACTCCACATGTAATTCAATCGGAGTGGGTTTCGAGTCACTCCTACGCATCTGTTTGAAAACGACTAAATCCGAATTTTCGTTTCCATCTGAGGAAAGCTTCGTATGACTATATTTTAAGGCCCTTTTAAGAAATATTGCGGAAGGTTTCATGCCGAGTTTCTGATACAACATAATAAGCAATATCAACATTTTTTTTCGCTGATCATTATGTTTGTACAACTGCTATATGTTTTATTTAAAAGGACCTGAGACGTGTAGTTGACTCTTTCTCTCATTGTACATATCCACCTTCTGAAGCTAGGGACTATATTTTTCGTCTGACTTATTTGTTTAGAGTCTTTGTATAGCGATACATCTTTCTGGAAGGTATATGTCACTTTGGCTATAGAGCCTCGAGAGTGTATATTGTATATGTGACATGACATCCCAATGTGACGTACTTTCCAGAAACGTGTATTCTTTGTTATCCAATGCACAACCATCAATCCGACTGATTTGCATACAATGCGTCACAAACGTTGCTATTTTTGCGCGCAAATCTCATTAGCAACAGCGACCGAGCTGACGAAAATGCCAGAATATGACGTGACGTCGTGACTTAAGGCTGCTTTCCAGTAATTAAGCGTTTTTCACAGTTTAAATTCATTTAAATGTTACTTATGAAAAAATTAAATGGATATTTAGTATTGTGTATACGATTTCTAATGCGTTTTTTAATGTAATAGTCCTTAATCCTTATGTAAAATTTAGGTGAGTGATTTACAGTTTTCGGTGCGTATATGTACGTGTAAAAAATGCTCAACGGGGATCAATGCGGCTTTTACAAATGAACATAAATGATCAGCCGCATGATGCAAACTCTGACATTCATTTTAACATTCAAATTTCCATTGTCATCGAAATGTGTTCCTCTTCCCACTCATCGCTCTAAATCCACGGCAATATTAGCTACCTGATGTTTTGATCCGTTTATGTAAATCTAATGATATTTCGGAATTCAGTAACTAGGCGGCCCCACACGATCCCACGCGCTTTATTAATTCACACCTGTAAATATAAACCAAAGCGCACGTCAAAAATATTCAGATTGCTCAATTGTTTGAAATTGTGTTAGCATGAGCAAACATCCATATATTGTCATAAGCTAAGAGAAAATTAACTTATCTGTGTTCGTTATTATTGTTGTGGATATCATTGAAAGATTAAATCTGTTAGACCGACTAATTCACTGAAACCGAGCTGCCTGGTGTTTAATAATCAAGTCTAGACTGAGGTTACAATTGGATGCTTGGATTCGCAGAAAATAGTCAAGTAAGTATTTTGGATTTTTAGTTCTAACTGTATAAAGCATGCATAGGAATTTTCGAATTTGGAGTTCTTAGATACAGTAATATGAGCTGGCGTTTTGTGATACTATAATAAAACTATCTGACCGCACGTGAAGTCCGACTTCTTAATCTCAGTGCAATTAAGTACAATATTCTGTTGACTGAATACAAACGTTCTGCTAGGTTCAAGGGCTTGAAATATTTTGACCGTTTAAACCTATTCAGATATCTGGCACCTGCTACCTCTAACTATATATATCTCCAAGGCAACGAATATATAACCGTTCAAAATGAACATGTGGAATTATGAATGTCATAAATACGGTAATTATCAACTAACGCATTTTTTGCATAAACTGCGCAACAAGAGACAAGTAATTTAGCAAAATAATTACTTGTACATACCGGCTTGTACACTGTTTTTCACGAATAAAACTTCAATAACAGTCCAAATTGCACAGCCTACAAATACAAGCAAACACTATATAGTGCCTACGCTCGAAATGTCGACAAACGTATCATACAGACGTTGTATCATACCGCAGATAAATACAAATGCTTCATCATAGTCATCGAAATATGGTTTGGACTTTGCTATTTTGGAAACTAACAATCTTAAAAGCACATATATAATGAGCTAGAATTTTATATTGAAACTTGAATCGTCTTCATTGCAGTACACAAATCTTTTGAAATTTTACTGCTTCGACGAGATGGTGCCATTGCCCTCGTTGGATGACTTTCTCATTATGCCAAAATCACCTTCACTGCGCACAAGTTTGCACTGATAAACATGAACAAAAAGATTAAAAGAAAACAGGTGTTCTCCGCAAAATTTGGATATCGTACGGCATAAACTGTCGACATGGTTCGGGTTACGCCTACAAGGAACTGAATTTTCCTGGAGAGAGGTTGTTGTTCAAAAATACTTAATTTTAATCTCCTCACATAATCCGCTAAAGGCTGCTGATCTTATGCGACTCATGCCTGTTTTAAACTCTGATCCAGTGTCGTACCGAACGCGCGGTTGCGTATCGCGCTTGTTTTCTGAGCATTCAGGAAAAATCATTGACGTTAATGAAAACGCTACGTACGGTACTTTACGATACAGTCGAAGTAGAAAACAGGCTTTAATTAATTCTAAAAACAATCTTAAATTCTAAATTTCCTTTTCGCTTGAGTCGAAATTTCCGGTTCCTTTCATCAGATGATTGGGAGTATGTTTAAAATTTACTTTACGCTTTTAGTCGGCGTTTTAATTATATAATCAATAATTTGGTTGGGGAACATTAACGCCCCTGCCAAAAAACGCCCCGGACTCACTTAAGGGATCAACTGACAATCTTTTCACTATATTGCAAAAAATGGTTGAACAAGGTGCAGTGTACCTACATTTCTATTCACCTAAAGACGTCATCCCGCATGTGCAGTCAGCCGCGGAATCGCACACAGCAAAGTCCCAATCTATATATAGGAGGGTCCTGAAGGGGGGGGGGGTCCCAATCCCATTTCCCACCTGAAATTTTGGCAAAATCCCAGTCCCAGTATTGAGAAATCCCAGTCCCAGTTATTGAAATCCCAGTCAATAGAAAACCCTTTATTTATCGGTAGAATAAACAGTTTTAAGACCTTTTAAGCATGTGGCGGACACTTTATGAAATATTTTTAAATTTGAATCCCGGAAATGGCATTTGCAGCATTCTGAGACACGCATAATCAGAAAACCCAGAATTCCGGGCGCCAGAGTATGCCTGTTCGCAGGTAGTGCTGTGAATAATATAGTTGTTAACCGGCAAAAATCATGACCAAAGACACCAAAAACGGATCAAAATTGTATTTTAAAATACTCAAAACGCAGAAAAATTGGGAATCGACTCGCATTACCTCAATCCCATTCCCATTTTTGAGGACTTCATTTCCCATTCCCAGTGGCCAAATCCCAGTCCCAGCAACCCAAATCCCATTTTCCCAGTCTAAAAATAGATCAATCCCAGTTCCCATTTTACCCCTTCAGGGCCCTCATATAGGCATTTGCGAAAAGTAAGTAAAACATTTAGCGACTGGATGGTCACTAGATGTTATGGAGAACAGTGGGATTTTCAAACAATGAAAATGCAATGGAACATTCCGTTCATTGAAATGTGACTGGGTGGCACATTTGTTACGGAGCCCAAAATTTAAATTTGACCTATTCACATCGCGACTTCGCTCCGCAGTGACGCAAAGAAGCCAAGTATTGGATCTAGAAACCGTTATAGCAATTTGTGGTTTCCGTTATCCTTGCTGCAATAATCGGTTATCATTGACCTGAAAGTCAATTATTTAAACAAAAATTACTCTAATAAATATCGCAAGGTCACTCCCTGATAAATATCGCAAAAAGACTACAAATCATCCTAATCAGTTTGCAAACATATATGAAGTAATTTTATTTAGAAGTTTATGTCCATTATTATAGACTTGAGTGGAGGTCAAAATCTCAACCTCTCTATTGTAATAACGCGATCAACAAGTCTCCATTATCGAATTTGTTGTTGAACTTATAAGCCCGTAATGACTGAATCAACAAAGAGAGTTGCTGGGTAAGAATTTTGGTAAAAAAATATTTTAAAACAGGTATACTTCATCTTCAAATTAAGAAAGAAAACAATTATTACAGCCTGTCATGGCATTTCAGGAATTGACTCTGCTGTAGTTTTCTCCAAGCAAAGAGAGCGTCCCTTCTTGCCCTACCGAATGTCGTAACAAGTCAGAGGGAGGCTGCTGTGGATACACGAGTACCTCAACAGTCAATATAAATAGAAGTGTGAGTTAACGCCCCAAATATTACCACAAACACCTTTTTATTAGCCACCCGATCATGTTGCATGGACAAAGAATATTTGTAATTTTTAGGATTAGATAATTACGATTGTGAGATAGACTATAAAATTGTAGTCACTGTATCGCTGCATGTTTCAAAATTGGATTTCCATACTATTTCCAACAGAGATCCATGCTATTTCCATTGTAAGGATTTTGAAAATAATGTCCAGTGTATTGTTATGCTAAATGCGATGCATGCAGAGGCCCATTTATGGCAAATGTACTGAATACCTCAGCTTGTCTTTAAAAATTTGCATGCATATTAAATCTGTTAAGCATAGATAACAAACAATAACTACAAATAAATGGTGTATTTAATTTGAATTCTGCAGCCATCTGTTAGAAGTTAACAAAGCCAAAGAAAAATATATTTCCATTACGGCTACCATTTCTTCGATTGATTGTCGAGTTATTAATTGTTTGCTGCAAATTGATCGATCGTTATTGCGTTAATTAATTATTAGTGGATTGTGGGCGTCATTGTTTTTTCGAGATGAACATTTTAACATGTGTTGCGCGTCACTCAAAAAGTAACGTTCACTGATATCCTACTCACATACATCCTAAGAGTGCAATAGTGAGGTTATCCAATGACTAAGTTTTAAATTTGAAGACATTTTCTGAAACCAATTTCCAAGTAAGTCTGACGGTCATTATGAATTCTATCTTCTAGTATATACATGTACGCAGTATAATTGATATTGTACTAGCTATAGGCTATATACTATGTATCTCTTACGTCTAGCCAAATGATCTATAATCTAGCATACTTAGCAATAATTAGTTATTAGGTTAACTATTTACGTATTGTCCTCCTATAATTACGTCTTTACTGAAGCTCGTTCCAAGTATGTTGTTTGAATGTTTGTCAGCAAGATCAAGAGTAAGATATCATAAGTTATTAATGGCTCACGACATGTAAAATGTTAATGTTGGATTGTATATATAAAAAGCTAAGAGATCGGAGATAATAAGGGCAGCCTCAGAGTAAATTACTTTATACCCCAAAATTGGCGTTCTTACCGCATAATGCATTGATTGAACCCTTATGTAAAAGTGTAGGTAAAAATCCATCCTTTGATATTATGTTTACGAAAATATAATTCCAACCCTGCAGCGCTGAAGAATTCCTTGGAATTTTAAATTGCTCTACTGGTAATTAAGCCTCGCTCGATCCTTCCATCTGGTGGCCATACTGTATTTCTACTACAATTTGACTCCAGCCCCGTTTACACTATACGCTCGATTTTTGGTACCGTGCCACTTTTTTGGTTGGGCGTAGTGTAAACGGGGTTTCAGACTGCAAATTTAACAATCTAAGTAGCTCTCGTACTGATGAGCCAATTTTATGTCGACTGCGAGAACTGGGCCAGATGAAATAAATGCGAAATCGATTCAGAGCCGTAGGGCCCATTGTGGACAACCTGCAGAGACGAGTTGAGGTCGATCTAAACTAAACTACCTCGAGAGGTCAGTTCACGTTTTACAACCGAGCTAATTTCTTGCTTAGCATGTCATGGCATTTCCACACTTTTTGACGGTAGTTAATTCGATTAATTTGTTCACGTTTTTGTGCAAGTGACACTTCAAAGAGTCCAAGGACCGACCTCGGACTGGGTTGAAATCGTTTTGATCTAAATGATCGCAAACCGCCCTGTGAAGTTGTGAACGCCTTTATGATTTAACTAATGAATCTGTGAACACCCCTGTGACTATGATTCAACTTCTGTGCATGCCCCTATGATTCAACTTCTAATGTAGAACGATCTCAAACCGCCATGTGAATGATTCAATTGCAATTTTATCCCGACACATTTGAGTTGTTGACTCTTGTGAATTTACTTATCAGTTCTGCGATGCGTTAATTTCGACACCAACGCATAGTTCGACAATGCATGCATCAGAGCATATATAGCGGATGTAGTAAACCACACCACTATGTGATATTTGTCACACTGGATTAAAAAATACAATTTTGAAGAAAACACGAGCTTAAAATGGGACTAATATCGCTAGGGTTTCATAAGACATGTTGCTGTTGTGAGCCATACAGACAAACTTATGTGCATTTGAAACACTTGGAAAACCCAATGGTGCGGATACTATAACATATTTTTATTCCCGCAAATTGAATTCACGTTTTATATATGGTGTGATGAAAGACCAGACAATTAGTAATACAAGTATAAGCATTGCAATTGACCGTAAAAAAATGAGCTCATACAGCATGAAATCTTGATAACATCTCTTGAAATGAACCGCTATACTTAGTAGAAGGAATAATCAACTTCTGCAGTTTCTTTCCGATAACCAAATCTTGGCTATACGTATATCATCCAATTGGTAGCTTGTTGCAATGCTCGTGAGTTAACGAATTTCTTCCGAAATTAAAGCCCAACGATAACCATCCACGATCAAACAATTCGTGAAGGATCAACTCATATGGTTTGTGTAAGAGCTAACGGAAAATGAGTAAATTATATCTTTACCCAGAGTATGCCCGTTCGCAACATTGCATGGAAGCGCGCGAAAAGCCGCGAGGTTTCCATGACAATAAGGAGATCAAGAGAAGGAGAGAGATACTGTTAATATTTTTTCCCGCATATACATGTATTGATCAATGAAACACGTAAAATATTACAATATCTAGATTGCCTAAAATGGGATCAAATATAAACGACGCAATAAATTATCATTGCATTAATTAAACTGCTTCGATCGTTGCTTTAATAAAGTCCCTTTGAGTTAGTATCCCGGAGAAACTTTTGGCAGTTGTAACCTTATGGCAGTTGTAATCTTTTGGTTGTTGTGGCTGTATAGCGTTCAATAGACTGTACAGTCTGTACTGCAAGGGTGGGTTGTAGCGAAGTAGTTGTAGTTCGCTACTGTAGCGAACTACAATTTTCAAGTAGCCAGTAGTTTTTGACTACTTTTTTAAAACAGTAGCTGTAGTTATAGCGAACTACATTTTGCCTAAAAGTATAACCAAGTAGTTGACTACTTTTCAAACAGCAAATCGCTATATTCGCTACTTTTAAAAATTGTTAGCAACTTGATAGAATAGAATGTTATTAAGACACAGTTTGCTTAAAATCAATACTCAATTTCGGCACGAATTCAAACTGTGCAAGTGCATGCCGTCTTATTTACTCGTAAGTCGATTTGTTATATATAGGTTACATTACAGCCTGAGCTATAGTAGATGTTCCAAATACAGTAAAATTAAAAAATATTGAGTGGCGAAATAGCGAAATAGTTCGCTACATTTTTTAAGCAGTAGCTGTAGTCAGTAGCGAACTACTTTTGTTCAAAAGTAGCAGTAGTTGTAGCTGACTACATATTTTTGAAGTAGCTGTAGTTATAGCGAACTACAAAAAGTTTGTAGTCAACCCACCCTTGCAGTGTACTGTTTATTGCAAAAAAAAACAATGGCTATTTCCTCAGACATGTCTGTTCGTGCACAACAGATCAAAGGATAGCTTGAGATTGGGATCAAGATCAAGAGGAAACATTTTCGTGCACGAAACTAGGGGACAGAAAAGTTCACGTGTCCATGCATGCCGTGTCAAAACACGCAAACATGAAAACGAGGCCTTTGGGTAAAAAATGTAATAAACAGCAAAGAATAACACATGCAGGTCACACAACTACCGGGTGGCCAGGGCCGTCCCCCCCCCCCTCTCCCAGAGAAAACTATATTTACGATTTTTGGAATGTCATTATTAATTATTCTTTGGATATTTGGGACTTTTTTCGGCATATAGGCCTTACTGCCAGACCCTGCGGGTGTCCCCAAAAAACTGGACATTGTTTGATCTCATTTAACGCGTAAAAGCTATAAAGGCTATCGCAATGAAATAAAGATCATTAGAAAGGACTAACTTAGATTTTGATACATAGCACTTGAATTTACATGCAATATTGACTGCGCTATTGATGTTTGAACGTTGAACTACTGTTTTTGAAAATGCCAAACATTAGCATATCAACAACGTTATAACTACCGATGTAGTTATACTTGTTAAATAATAAATATTTTTATTTTGGTTGTATCTCGCTCAATATTGCATGTAAATTCAAATGTTACATGTCAAAATCTGAGTTAGTCCTTTGTGAATGCAATGATCTTTATTTCATTGCGATAGCTTTTATGGCTTTTACATTATATGAGATCAAACAGTGTCCAGTTCTTCTTGGGACACCCGGTATATGGATATATATTTATATATATATATATATATATATATATATATATATATATATATATATATATATATATATATATATATATATATATATATATATATATATATATATATATATATATATATATATATATATATATATATATATACTACTATAGCTAATTGTCGACATTGCCATCCATGCTCTATTTTGTATTTCTACACGAAATTCAGTATTATTTTCTTTCTCATTTTTAAAGACCCAATGTCAGGTCCGAAAATATCATTGTTTAAAGTTAAAAATTTTCAACTTCAAAACCTTTTCCGACGACCGGAAAATTCGTGTCGGTCACCCATGCACATTTTACAAAATTTTCTTTCTGCGAAAAATTTTCCCGAGTGGATCGAAATGGACCTTAAAACTGTTTATAATCCCAGTTAACAGTACTGCAGTTACAAATATGCAAAACGTAACAGGTTTTTAATTTACTCTGTAAACAACTTTAATAGACTAACGTGCATTATCAGACATATAGACGTGAACGTTTCTTATTAGATGTACATGCTGTACAGCATGCATTAAAGCTTAATTTTAGCAAAATGACGCAAAATTGTCGTCTTTCCAAAGGATATTAAATAATGCAAGATTATACAAATATTGGACATCAGAGCATATACCTAATGATGAATTTAATGCAGAGCTTTATTAAAAGTCTCGGGTACGAGTCCGTTGTTAAAATATTTGCAAGCACACATGACTTTTTGGGAAATATAAAAAAGTAATACATGTCAGGCATATGCATGCTTTAAAAAGAAGCCAAAACTAAAACATGCATGTTTGATGACGATTTTAAAATAAGAGTTCAACTTAAATGTATGTAGATATCATCTAAAAGCACAGGTGTTTGTCCTTGCTGACACTCCAATTTTATGATAACGGGGATGAATACAAATGTATGTAAAATAAAAAAACGACGCCCAGATATGCATGTCCCCAACTGTACGGTGTTCATTATACTACATATTAAGTATAAATGGCAAGGCCCTTGCCAATGGTATAACGTACCAACTACGAGAAACGGAGTAATCAAGGCATTATTCATGGTCAACGTTTATGAACATTGCAGTCATTATGTAAATATTTGGAAAGAGAAGCTTAAAAGTTATTAAGGTAAAATCTTTAAAGATAGCTATTTCTTGTTTCAAAAGTCATCCAGTTTTTTTTAACAATAAACTATAGTATTAATTCATGTTATCTACAGAGTTATCTTCGGGGGGTTTTCGCGTGCAGTGAATTTTCTGCGAATTTCAATATGCCCTGCAGTGAATAAACAAAGTATTTATTACATTTTACATTATTCATATAATCGAGCATATAATAACGTCTACATATATACACTATGCAAAATATGCAATATAAAATGTTTTTTAGCTTTTCCAAAAAAATTAAACTATATCTCAGTATAATTCATGAACTCGGCATGATCAAGACATCCTAACTGCGTATTATATATTGAAAAAGACAAAGTTTCGAGCAAATGATAAATAAATGCAAGCATGCATGCATGCATCCGCGTTAGGTAAGTTTAAATTTTCATCTGAAATTTTCTTAGGCATGCTTAGATATATATATATAGGCCTACGAAAGCATTTTAACGGAATTTTCATTTGAGAACAAAGCCCCAATTTCGTCTCAGGGTATGTACGATCTATTTGTACACTGTAGCTGTGAAATTAATATAGGTACTCGAGGAAACATGTACATTTTAGATACAAAATATAGTTTTGAGCAAACGATAATACAAGTATCTGCATGGTAGGTGGGTTGAATTTCTATCTGATCTGACTTTTCCTCGTCAGCATATACCATGGATAATAAAGTCTTTTTAAACGCTTACTTAGAACTGCTGTGTCAGTGACTTTCATAACAATTAAGGCCTTTTTTCTCACTAGGATTCACGAGTGATAAACCGTCCAGCTGTTCAACTCATTAAAGTAGTTTATTTGGTCGTATATAAGATACTAAAATATGTACAGTTTTGATAAGGCCGCAAAATGCTGCTATGTCGTTTTAGTAGATGATACAAATGTAATAATTGAAGGAGATCTTCCATCAAATAGTAATCACCAAATTCTAGGAAATTATTAAATATATTTCTTAATTTGGTGTCGTGTTACGAGGATATTTTTACGTACAAAATCAGGAACTAAAGAAAGTCAAAAAAGGGGGCCCACTTGCCCAGAGGAGGCTGGAATTGCGGAACGTGTTAAATATTAAGGAATTTTCTTAAAAATTGAGGTCGAAAAAGGTCTGTAAAGTATTTTTAACCCCCCATTATCTGAAACTATATATAGTGTTTGGAAATATTTTTGAGACGTTTTGTTAAAACCTTTTTATTTTTGAATTCACCCCCCAACCATGCAGATACCCCGGGATGGCAGTGTATAAAATTTCCATAAATAGTGCCGGCTTCTAAATCATAAATCTTCAAAATGAAAACCAGAGTAAACTGACGTGTTGATAAATGGCGGTTTACGATCAAAATCACATGTGTCAACGCGTGAGGTAGGTATGTGAGGAAATTGGTCTGATCGTGAGCTGTGATGACAAATGAGAATATATCAATGTAACAATGTTATGTGAAATAATATAAACTGACTAGACTGACTACAGATATAATATAACTTGCATCGAAACTGTCGTGATGGCGATTTATATCGATCTAGAGTAAAATAAAATGCTATAAAAACAAACTTTTGTTGAAAATAAAACTAATATATATATAGTACAATAAATCGTCCTATACATCCTACGAGAGGACTATAATAGATGAAGGGGAACTTTGACTTTTGTAGAATCTCTTGAAATAAAAAAAACGCGCGGTATCACCGAATGATGAACATTTTATAATATAGCTTTCGACTAAGTTTTAGTTATCACCAGGAATCATTGTTTTTTCTACTATCATTAACTACTCGATGATTCTCGTACTTTGTGTTTCTTTTTCAACTATACTTGCATGTATTACATTCAGTAACAAACTCATTTCAGTCTAACTAAAGGTTATGACTTAAGTGTGAACGACTATAGCCAGTAGCCTATAGGCTATAATTATTGATCTCAAGATCAAAAGGTTTGACACAATACAATGAAAACTCTTAAGATCAGTCATGGTTTCACTATAATCCTTATAGTCATTATCAGGAATTTGTTTTATAAATACACCTTTTCGATTACGTGTATTTTCCTTCGACCCTCGGGAAGGTTAAGAATCGTGAGATAAAAAATTTGTCCTGTACTGTATAGCAGAACCCCAAGATCCATTGTGAAAATTAGCCTCAAAAACAGATTCCTCGCTGATTATTTTTATTTTTTTGGAATTTCAATCAAAAAGACTTATCTTACGTATTTTTTACCTTTGTCTTTGAATTTTTTGTTCATAATAATGTACAGTCAGTTTTTTCGCGAAAAATGTAGCAAAAAGCGAACTTTGGTGATTGCGCTAAAACCGGATGTTTATACAATCGTATATAGAGCGCGAAAACACTATATAGCCAATCAAAACGCTAGCTGATACGACAGTTCATCACATGTGCATGAAAAATCGTTCGCCAACCAAAACGCTGATATGATAAATTTCACATCTGAAAGTATCGCCCACCGTGCATGCACGCGGAAATCTCTATACTTAGTACGTTTTCAAAATTTTCCGCGGTAACCACTGAGTAGTGCATGCGTATTCTAATAACTTCGGAGTTTCCGGCCATTGTATTGTATTCTACGTTTTCTACGGCCTGAGTTTCAATGAGTTGCAAATGATTGCTTTATTACAAATCAGTTTTGCAGCAGATGCAAATGCACGTCGGTCCTCATAGACAATATTTAACTCGAGACAATAACTTTTAATAAGAAATAAGGAAATTGAAATGGCATGATAAGGGTCAGGTAATCTTACTAGCGACTTCAAGAATGCTATATTAAATTCTATAGACTATTATTAGACAATAGTTCATCATTAACTGATTATTAAGCAGCTGTAAACAGCAGCAAACAGTTTCTAGAATTATATGAGCAGCTTTGGTTTATAATACGATTATACGCATCCGTTTACTCTTCCGACAATAATTAGCCTTTGGTTTATTACGAAGCCGAGACTGCAAGAAAATGCGAAAATTCATTCAAATCTCAAGGACGTCCATTAATCATTCCCAAATACTCACGTTTGCTCAGTTTACCAACTGAAGCATTTTAGTCGTACAACAATAATTTGTGGGTTTTGATGGAAAGCAAACATATAGACTAAGATTAAAAGATTATATATCGAGATCTTTCTGCTTTGGCAGATTACCATGCAAGGCGCTGTTTTGGAAAACAAATACAATTTTATAAATAAATGTTAGATAATAAAATACATTATAATGCTGAAAAAATGTTTTTGACCAATTAATTGCGTGACTATTATCTTGAATGTTGCGGGCTGCCAGCAAAAACTACCTTTTGAAGTTTGTTGTATCTTCAGGTTTTTGTATCATATACACACATACGAGACGTTATGAATGTTCTGCATGCATGAGTATACTACTATACTCATCTCACATCTAAACATTCATAACTCATCCACTCGTTCACATCCATCAAAAGAAGACTAAATCGCACCTAAAATCGCAGCAGGCAAGTACGGGCCATTCCAACTGAATTAAGTTTACTTGAACTTTGCATTCTTGAACCGCCTATATTCATATTTTTGGTTTCAAATTCACGGCATATCACAAGGTTACCATGGTATATCGATATTAATCATACTAATAGCTTTGGATTATTTTCTTTTCAGATTTTCGACTATAATCGCCTAAAGACTGACACTTGAGATATACGCGACAGCACTGGACTTAAACACATCGAATCCCTATAAAGCCTGTAGTGCATTGCAACATCAGACATACCAGATAGCTGTTGGCACAAGGCAACATGGAAAACAGAAACAACACCACGAGTGCATCTTTTTCTAATTCAACTCCGTTTGGATTAATAAATGCTCCTTCTTTCAACCTTGGACTTGTGATTGCACTTGGTGCGCTAATACCTTTAATAGTTATTGGAAATTCGTTAGTATGCTACGCGTTCTTAAAGTATCAAAAGCTACGAACTGCAACAAACTGTTTTCTTGTTAGTTTGGCCCTAAGTGATTTGGCGGTGGGGCTCCTTTTAATACCACTCTGGATTGCATATATTGCGTCGGGCGGTTTCCACGAGTTACCAAAAAGTTTCCGCGACGGTTATTATGTTTTGGATATAACATGCAGTGTTGCTTCGATGGCAAATCTTGCAGGGGTCAGTATAGAGCGATGGTATGGAGTCTGTTATCCATTTCGTCACATGAGTATGAGCATAAATTACGCAGTTTTGACATCAATTGCGTCGTGGACTTATGCCTTGGGTGTTGCTTTGCTATCTCTATTTAACGACCAAAATAACCGCTGGGTTGTAACAACTATGACCGGCCTTGGCTTGTTTTTGCCTTTCGTCGTTATGACCACGTCGTATTGTGCAATTGGCCGCAAAATCAGGCGAAAAACCTTGCAACCTTTTCATCAATCTGGAAATGAATGCAAAACAATTCGTACATTGGTTTTGTTATCAGTAATATTCATCGTGTGTTGGCTGCCTTTCGCTATCGGTTCTCTTGTGATAAATTACTGCGATCGATGTGTATTATATGTTTTGGAAACACCAGTATTACATATTTTCCCAAAATTTTTACACTACATCAACTCCTGCGTCAACCCCGTTCTGTATTCCCTGTTCTGTCCAAGTTTCAAATCAGCTTTCAGACAAATGTTCTGCGGCTCTCGTCGAAGACCCAACGGGATACGACGACGAAATACGTTGATTACCGATCAAAGTGCCTCGGGAAAGAGAAAATCAAATGGCAGCATGGTGATCAATTTTAAAGATAAAGAAAAGATAAAGTCGAATTCCAGTGACATCCAAAGAGGCTCGCTAGTAATTGAAAGTCTTTTGTAAAAGTGGATAATTCTATGCATTACGTAATAACTTTTTATAGAACAAAAAATCCGCAATGAAATACATAGTCATAGAACTGATGAGAAATAATAGTTGCAACCAGCGAACTTTTTTCCGCTGACAAAGAAGCGCATATGAACTGGAGGGCATGCCATCACGTGCAGGTCCCTTAACCAATCCTAGCCTGAATAAAGATTAAAAGTGCTTCGAGCAGAACCAAAGAATACTGGTGATCATGAATACTAAGTTTATGTCTGAATAGCTTAGTATAATGAGGACAATAATCAATATGATGCAATTTGTTTGCTTGATGTCGATAATGTAATATTTGTTCTGTTTAGCGGAAAACACCACGGCAATATTTATTATTACTATTCATTGTACTATTTTCTTGTATTCTTATTGGTTGAAAGCCTACAGATAATTTTCCATATCTCGGTGCAGAATGTGAACATGACAAATATCGTATCTGTAGGTGCCCGCGTATTTTTGCAGCGGTATTTTGCAATTGGAAAAGACGGCGGGAAATTTTGTAAAATTATTTTGTTTTGACAATGGCTTCTGCTGCTTCTGCTCGTTTTGCTTCGGTTTCAACAGAGCAAATTGGAAAAATAGTTCAAGACAAAGATTCTGAAAATTTAAAGATCGGCTGAATAATAAAAGAATTAATGAATTCGGCTTACGCAGGATATCAAAATTATTCAGACCTCGTCCTCGGATAACATTGACCTCGGTCTGAATAATTCTGATATCCTGCTCAGCCTCATCCAATAATTCTTAAAGACCTTAAATATTGCATGCTGATCTTTCGAGCAGTCTTGGCAACACTCTGGGAGGGTGGACAATAATTTCACTCATGCACCAGTGAATAATAAGATCGTTCATTTTAATCATTTATAACTTTCTCGTTTCCGTTTCGTTTTTTGTTCCTTTGACACTTGGTATATAATGAAATACGTTTTAACTGGGTCTGCCGCCAATGATCTGCTTCGTCCGAGCTTCTGGATCGGCAGCTTTACATTGATAAACATTCGTGGTGTTTTCCACCAGCCAAAACAAATATGATCCTATACTAGTTAAGTTATATTTATGTCATTGCCAGCCCGGACTTGGAAAGACTGCAAAGATATATATACACTTAAAACGAATACCATTAGGCAACTTCGATCTGCAATTAACTACTGAGTATCCACCAACTCTAGTCAGCTTTCTTATTATACAACTCTTGTTTTACTAAAGGTTTTACTAAAGGTTTATCAGAGATTTAAAGCGGTAGTTCGGATTCCACTCCCATAGTAAAATAACCACCATTTGAGCGCCGGTGTATTGAATGCATTGGCACATTGAGAATATTCTGGGGTGTGTTGGTTTAACTTGTAATATTTATTGTAATATTTCGTCACAGCAATTATAGAAAATAGTGAAAAACATATATTTTAGTCATTCGTTGAAATTACTTTGAATTGTAATACAAGCAGGGGTATAGGAAATAACACAATGTACTCTCCAACTAATTGCTAACTTTTGAATGTTCATCAAGCAAGTAATTCAATACGCTATTCAATCGGTAAAAATGAAAAACTAGTGGAAGTGTTTGTGCCGATGAAATATTCGAACACAAATTTATTACCTATTTAAGACTTTTATATTTGGACCATGTTACATATTCCCCTCCCCCCTGACGAGTTAGGATAATAGGGTACCTTAGGTGAGGAGGGTTAGACGAGGGGTAAGGGTCAGCTTCAATGTGTCTGTATGATGATATACATCATGCATAATGATGATATACATCATAGATTCAAGGACGACCGTATGATGATATACAACATTACAACATACGAAATGAAGGGGATGTGTTGATATAATCATAGTTAATATACTATAATATAATGGAGTGAAAGCAAGCACATCATTTTATGGAACGATATATCCCGAAATCTCGTACTGAAGTAAAAAAGGCTTTATTCACAATTTCAGTCCTCTAAGTGACGGTTATCCGAAACTCTAGTGGGCCAACGCCTAATTTTGTCCGAGGCACTGGTCCGAGGCATGAGAACAAGGCAAGATGAAGTACATACCAACCGTTTTATAACAGATATATCCGATCGCGGGCGCTGAAAGAGGATCCTTTGTTGTTTTGATTTGAATTCGAAATTTTATCAGATTTACAGCTGAATTTAAAGCTGTTTTGGAGTACATTTGTTAATTATCAAGTAATATAAGCCCCGAAGAGAAGCAGAATTTCAATACTGAATACATATAAACGGGAATTTTGGAAATATGAACCGAATATTTCGATGTCAATTGTGTCGTATTTCGGCAGCTTGTCGTGTAGTTTGGAAGAAGAACGTTATTTAACGCTTCTAGAGAAGGATTTATCTGGTTTTTCGAAGGAAATATCCGTGAATAGAGTGCTCATTTTCCCACCATTGTCGTCACGATATCGCTTTCTAATACATAAAGTTGTTGAACGATGGCCCAAGCTTAAAAGTTGCTCGATAGGGTCTGAGCCTAACCGTCGTACAGTTGTTTATTTTGAAGAATTAGCACGTATACAGTAAGACTATGAATTATTTTACTTACCCATCGTGGGAAATTATTGTATTATCTTTTCTGATACCTTGGTCTGTACCATTTAATCTCATATGGTCATATTCATGTTGTTGTACCATAACCACTGGCACTGCATAACTTGTTCCCAGTCACTTGGCAGAGAACAGTATGCAATAAGGGCGCTTTCCATTTAATGGCCTGACCGGTCAGACCCGAATTCTTTTCTCTGTATCAATGGAAAGATCTGGTCTATGTTTCTCAAATATCTAGCGAAAATGGACCTCATTCTGATGTTATCTACAGTAAATTTTCTGGTCAGATAGGTGGGAAGTTCAAATGTTTTGTGTTCCATTCAACAATTTGACCGGTCTGTCCGTGTTAATGGGAAGCACCCTAACATTACCTACTGGTCTATAATATATAGGTCAGTGATTATACCTCATTATCTCCCAGTGTATCAAGGGTATCAATCCTGGGTGGTATCTCTTACTTTTTACATAATCATAACAACCACTATAATTTCTAAGTCAATTAAGGTTGTTTTCCACTTCGCCCGTCTTGGAACATAACGTAACCGGTGAATTTTGAAAATTAAAATTTGTTTTTATACATGTCGATACGTTATGCCTGAAGTGGAAAACAGCCTTTAATATCGTCCCCCATTTTGGAATAGATAATCGTCCTTGGTGATCTCAGTACAAATGTGAATGAATATTTACAACAGGTCCTGCAAGTCAGGCCAAAGATGGTGGAAATTGAAGTGGAAGATTTACTCCATACAGCAATTTGTCAGGTTGACTATGTAGAAACATTCTCAGGATGTTGTCAGATCTACTGTATGATGTTTGCCAGACAGTTTTAAGAATGTCATTAATATGCATATGAAATCATTCGATAATTACACCCCTTCAATAATTATGTCGCAAAGACTGACATCCAATAGCTGCTTCATTTTCCACCATTTTTGGTAGATTGCAATGGCGGCAATGCATGATCTAAAATCAGCCCAACAAAGTCCACAGCAGTGTGGAAATGTAATTTAACCCTTAAGCTGCAATTTGCCCAAATTTGTTTTACTCTGTCTAAATGCCAGATGATTTTACTTGTCAAGGGGAGAGTCCTGCACACTAATGAGTTGAGGCCCGGTCACACTACAATGATACAATAATGATTTTAAAATTGCTCACAATAACAATAAATTTTTTGACCAATCAGCATGTGTTTACAAGTTATTGTATCATTGTTGTGTAGTGTGACTGGGCAATCCCATCAGGACAATAGATTTTAACAGCATTATTACATTTATTAGGCATACTGTAAGATGTCTGCAAGTATAAGATCTGACAGTTTTAATGTACAGTACCTCACTTTGTTATTTACTCTGTCTAATGCCAGATGATTGTACTCGTCAAGGGGAGAATCTTGTGCATTAATTGTTAAAAACTCAGATAAAACAGCACATACAATTAAATAAATTATTAACCTTGTGATGTATTGTGGCAGTCCAAACTTTCTAAGTGCCTAAACTTCTCTGTTTTCAATTAGCAAAGCACAGCAATCCATGAATAGTTCAAACATGGAAACCAAACAAGCACCTGAAAGCCGTCCTCGTGGACGAGGAAGAGGCCGTGGGTTAAGGGGTAGATCACAGAATCAGTGTGATAGCCCCAGGAACAGTCCCACCGCTTCTCGTAGACCTGCTCAAGCCTTGTACAGTCCAGGAGCTTTCAGTAAACACAGAAATAACGACCAAGCAATTGAATCTCCTGAAAATGTTAGGACTAAGAACACTGTACCAAAATCTCTCATTAAAACAGAACCTGTACATGAAAAGTCTGAAATCTCAAAATCAGAACAGGTTGACAAATCAAATGCAAGAGATCAGGAGGACTGCGAATTTGGGTTGGAGGATAATGGGAATAAAAGGAATAGCATGTCAGAGGATGAGAAGAGTTTGGAAAACAATTTCAACAAGTCGTACGTTAGTTCTCCCACCAGTGAATCTGTTGAAAATGGATTGAGGGACGTAAGAAAGAATAATAGTAGTTCACCTACTGATATCACAAGCAAAAGAATAGATCGTGCTGATGTTACTGATGTTGTGGTTAGTGAAAGTCAATCTGATTGCATCGATTCCAATTGTGATGTTACAAATAGTTTGCAATCACGTGACAGTGTGGGACAAACGAATCGTTTTGATTGCTCTGCAAATAGTAACGTTGACAATGAAATTATGTCAGAAAAATGTGAGAAACAGGAAGAAATCTGTACTACATTTGAAGACACCCTTCTTGGAGATACGTGTGAAACCATTCAGACTAATGATCATACCAAATTGAATTGTGGCAAGACAAGTAAGAAAGCCATCCAAGTGGAGGTTCCGATAACTTCATCTGAATCAAGTGACTCTAAAACTTTTCCAAATAAAAGTAGTGGCTCTGAGAAATCGATGAATGAAAGTAAAGAGAAAGGAAATACTTCTAAAGAAGGAGTAGAGGAAAGAATAAATGTTATGGGAGATGAAAGGCAGTTGGCAGAAACAAACGTTGAGGATACTGTAGACAGTGTTACTGAACGTTTGGGAACTAGCACAGCGTGTATGGCTGATAGAGAGTCTTATGTTAATATTCACGAGAATAAAACAAACGTTGAAGACAGTGTTGAGGTTTCTGGTTGCATAAAGTCTGTTTCCGTTATGTCCGATATAACAGAAGAAGAAATGCCTGCATCAAGTCAAGCGTTGAGCGGCGACTTGAGTAATGAAGTTGGCAAAATAACACTAGGGAAGAATGAACGTATGGTGTTTAGTGAAAGTAAAGATGAGGCACTAAGCAAAAGTAAACAACACAACAGAACGAATTTGAATGATGAAGATGATAAAATATCACTTGGAAATAATGAAAGTTTGGTGGATAAAGAAAATGAAGGAAACGCCGAGGCACAAAGAGAGAGTAAACCTAAACAGAACAAAAAGAACTTGAATGATAAAGATGATAAAATAGCACTGGAAAATAATGAAAGTGTGGTGGGTAGTGGATGTGAGGAAAAGATTGAAACACAGAGCAAGAAGAAATGGCAATGCAAGCCAGAAGCCTTGAATGATGAGGAGGACAAAATAGTTCGGGGAAATAATGAAAGTATTGAGAGTACTGGAAATAAAGGAAAGGTTGAAACAAAAAGTACCTCGAATGATGATGAGAAAACGCATGTAACAATAGGAAATAACGAAAGTATGGTGGACAGTGAAAATAGGAAACAGGTCCAATCGCATTCACAAAGCAAGAGTAAACGACAAAGCAAGAAAGAGGAGAAAGCTAAAAAGAAAGAAGATAAATTAAAGAAAAAGCAAGTGAAAACAAAATCTGAGAAAACAGTAAAGCAGGAGAGTGAAGGTGAAGAAAAAGGAGCAACGAAGGAAGATGAAGTTCTTGACTCAGGAAAGAAAGGAAAAGCCGTTAAAGAAGTTAAGATTCAGCTACGAAAAGAAAAACAGGCAGGAAGTAAAGAAAAAACGATGGCTAAAGGAGGTGAAGTTCTTGATTCGGGAAAGAAAGGAAAAAGTGATAAAGAAGTTAAGATTCAACAAGAAAAAGAAACAAATTCGATAGCTGG